GTCACCAATTTAGTGCTACTTGGTCCCAATGGAATTTCCCATTGGGAACCTACTAGCACTAAGACGCTAACCGGCTACAACCAAACTTGCTTGCGAACCTTCCGCCACAACAAACCCGCCCCCTTGATAAACGACCAATCACATTCACTTTATTCACTGGTGTAAAGTCGGGCACCACTGGGAGAATTTGGAAACGCAGCGTTTAGAACTGCCGCTTTCTCACAACTTTAGAAACAATACACAATTGCGACTGTTACTTTCACGATTGGTGGAGAATCTTGAGGACCCAAATGATGCAGAGGTGATTTTGGTAGATTTAATGAAGTAATCTTCACCAGCGTAGACACGACTGTTTGCATCTTGTGGTATTTCCTCTTAAATTCTGCCAGTTTGGTTTCTTCTGGCTCGTGATTGAGGCTTTTCTCTGACCTCTGTGTCCTCCTGTCTTATCCAGGTGTGAAATATCCGTGTGCTACAAACCTGACAGCTCCACCGACTGGAGGCTGAGAAAATCCCAGGCTACTTGGTCCCAATGGAATTTCCCATTGGGAACCTGCTAGCACTAACTTGCTAACCGGTTAGCAAGATGCTTCAGAGACACCAGCCACAATCAAGCTTGCTTGTCAACCTTCTACCACAACAATGCTCCCACCTTTATAGTCGACCAATCACATTCACGTTATTCACTCGTGTAAAGTCGTGCACCACTCGGGAGAATTCGGAAATGCAACATTTGGAACAGCTGCTTCCATACGACTTTAAATAATCCATAAATCATAATTAATCTGATTAGCTGTTTAGACCCTAAAATATAGATAAAAACTCCATCTGCTTCAGCCACCGATGCCGTTGAGCCATATTTGAATTACAGGGACTGAGTGAAAAATTTTAAAAGGATAAAAACTGTTTATCTTTTATTAAGGAACAAAAAATTCTCCTGCATTTGTTTTCCTTGGTGAAAGGTTATTTATATTTCTGTTAAATGTTTGTCTCCAGGTCTACAGATCCTCCTCACACTCCTGCAGAACGTGTCTGCAGAAGAGGCAGCAGCTCAGAGCTTCTACCAGACGTACTTCTGTGATATTCTGCAGCACATTTTCTCCGTGGTCACAGATACGTCTCACACCGCAGGTATGAGGCGTTTCTTTTCTGAAAATCACACTCCATCTTTTCATTGCTCCTGCTCTTCCATCACTGATGAGCCTCCCTTCTCTAAGGTCTGACCATGCACGCCACCATCTTGGCCTACATGTTTAACTTGGTGGAAGAAGGGAAAGTCAGCGTTGCTCTGAGCACCACCAACCCCACCAACAACCAGCTGCATGTTCAGGAGTACATCGCCAACCTGCTCAAAATGGCCTTCCCTCACTTACAAGAGTAAGACATCACATTTGTTCAATTCCACATCAACATGCTCTCATCTAAGGCTACGTTCACACTGCAGGCTGAAGTTATCCAAATACGATTTTTTGGCCCACATGCGACCTGGATCTGATCTTTTCATGGCTGTCTGAACAACACGGATTTGATTTCTTCCAATGCGACCCAGGCCACTTGGCTATCTGGTCCTGAATCCGATACGACTCTGATCTTTTCAAATGCAACCTGTCTGAACGGCCAGGTCACATTCATCTGACCTGAACGCCATTAGTGAATTACATAGGTCACTATTCTGCTACGCAGAAGCAGCAAGATTTCACAAAAAATTTGGAATTAAGCATCAAAGCCTGCAGTGTGAATGTGGCCGAACTAATCAGATGTTTAATGGCATAAAAGCAGGTTAACTGAAACCAGGAAACCTGGAGGAGGTTACATTTTCATGAATAAAATAACTTATAGTTTTCTATACATGTATATTAGTTTTTTTTTCTTTTTTGAGGTTCAAATCAAATAAACGACTGTAATTTTCACTTTTAAATAAAAAGAAATAGAAAAATTGCAATCTGCCATCTGTATTCTAATTTTTAAATCTTTTTTTACATATGAAATCTAACTGCTTTGACTGTTGCAGAGGTTTCCTGTAGTTGTTTTTTTTTGCTGACTGCTGGTAAATATCTGTAAATGTTGATTTGAATTGTTGAAATATTTGTCCAGTGCCCAGGTGAAGGTGTTTGTTACGGGTCTGTTCAGCCTGAATCAGGACATCCCAGCCTTCAAGGAGCACCTGAGGGACTTCCTCGTCCAGATTAAGGTCAGCGACCAACGAATGTTAAACACTTTCACTTTGTCCTGTTGAAACCAAAAGTTTTCATATATCATTGGAGTTTGGTGATAAATCTACCTAAAGTAGCACCGACTTATAAGGTGGAAGGAAACGTGCTTCATCTTGTTTTTACACATCAGTTTTTCTGTAATCCCCCCTCCAAATAAAATATACAGGTAATAGGGATGCATGATCAGTTTTTTTTATTTTTATTACCTTGTTCATTAGAAAGAATACAAACATTCCTCGACAGCATCACAGGTTATGTATGATACGGCAAAATACGGGGAGAAAAAAAAACAACCTTTGGGCCCAGAAAGCTTAGTAATAGGCTACACATGACTGAAAATAAATGGTAGATAAATAAGTGGGCAGTGTTGGAATCCCCTCAGTTTGAGAGGTATCTTGTTATGGGTAGCCACCTTTTTACGAAATGATCAGCATTTTATGCTTTTATTTATTTTAACATCAGACAATAATGAAAAAAGTAAGAAATTGAAAATAAGATGCAACAAAAAAAGAAAAGTCTATTGTTCAAAAGGAGAGGGAAGAAGACAAAGCCAGAGGAAACACCTGTCAGGACATCACATCCACTGCAGATATTAAAGTCATAGGGAAATCATATTTAAATGTCAAATCATTCTGGCTTAAACATGTATATAAATGTTCTCTTTATCAGACTATATTGTCCCAAAAGTTAGAAAATTTCTAAAAATAAAAAAATCCTGTCTGAAAATCTGTGGGGTTTTTTTATTTTTCGTTATTCACCCTTTTCCTCCTCAGCTTGGAACCTGCTTTCTTCACAGGATTACAGATGCTAATAAATGCAAAATGAATAAATCGAATACAAAACAATTTGACAACCTGTTATGGTCGTCTGAGGGGATATTCTTTTAATCTGCAAATATTCCAGAAATTTATAATCAACAGTAGCCAAAAACTTTCAACAACGCTTTAGGATCAATAACCCGTCCAGTTAGTATCGTTTCTGGGTGTTAATTCCTGAAGGCTAAATGACAGCAGATCAGAATGAGGATAAAGCAGAACCGCATGAAATCAGAGTGGGATCATTGCTGATCTTCATCTCTTGTGATCTGACAGGAGTTTGCTGGTGAGGACACGACGGATCTGTTCCTGGAGGAGAGAGAAGCGGCTCTTCGCCAAGCCCAGGAGGAGAAACACAAGCTGCAGATGTCTGTTCCTGGAATACTTAACCCCCATGAGCTGCCGGAGGAGATGTGCGACTAAAGCAACTGCAGCAACTTATTGATTTATCTTTTCAACAATTTGTATTTGACCTGGATTGGAAAGACAATCTGGGGGTAATACGGACGCTGGAGTGCATTTGGAAGTCGACCAAATCGATGTTTATATGTAAATGAGAATTGACTTCAGTTTCGGCGTGTTTTGTTTGTTTTTTTTTTCTTTTTTTTTTTGTTTTTTTTGTTTGTTTTTTTCTTTTCTTTATAAACTTATTTTATACAAGGGTTTTTGTGTTCAACATGATTTGTTAAAGTTTCCTTTTGGCAACACGGTTATTTTACATCTGCTTGAAGATACAGAAATTAAAGGTTCGTTTTAATCCCTCACTTTACTCACCTGCTCCTTGTTAATATGTAAGATATATTGTGAAAACGTTTGCCACGTTAATGTGAAAGATTGTTTTTGTTTCAGATGTGCTCTGTGCACTGAATAGAATGAATGTGTCGCTCTGATGGCTTCGCCCTCGTTCGTTTGTCTTTTTTTTTTCTTGCTCCTTGTCATCTGATGGGTCGGAGCTTCTGCTACTGGATGTACCTGAAGGCTGTGTGCAGCTCATCCTGTTTGTTAACCTTTCCAAGAACATTATAAAGTTGCCTATTTTTACAAAAATAACTCTGTTCAAAGTCTAAACTGTTCATCCAATTAATTTAGGCGCCTAAAAGTATTCAGCTGAAAGGCAGACGTCTGCATAGCATCACATAAATTCCCTTCTACGTTTTAAACACATGACTAAATCAGATTATCCATCTTTTGTCTTCACACCTACCTTAGTGAAAGGGAACCATTGGGCCAGGGGCTTTTATTAGGTTATTTCCTAATCTTCTGCCATTAATGTAACGCTGGGATTAAAGAGATCTGAACTTAATATTTCACATGTTTCATATTTCTGTAAATCTTCAGATACGTTTTGAATATTTAATTTTTGTATTGCAACAAGATAATAGAAAATGTTAAATAAAAATGGCTTAAAAGTTTTAACACTGTAGGATTTTATTTATTTTTTTAAGAAACTAG